CCGATGTCCCCATGGGGTACAGTGGGGTGGGGGGACTGCCATGATCCCCGCGTCACTGGAGCAGTCGAGATGTCGCAGCACTTGACGCTGCTCTTTCCTTCCTCGAGCCTCGCAGACACAGCTGATGTCCTCCGAGAGGCAGCGGCATGACCTGGAGGAGGACCTGCGCAGCCTTCGGGAGGAGAACGCGGCCCTGAAGGACCAACTGCGGGCCGCGTTTGCGGCCAAAGATGAAGGGGTTGCAGAGAAACAGGCCGTGGGCGTCGCCTCTAGGTCCGCCGCCGGAGCGGGCGCCGCGCACGAAACCGATCATGCAGGCATACTGTCAGCTCCCGACCCTCCTGTGCCGGAGACTGGGGAGGCTGAGACCGCCAGGACCACTTGGGACCCCCTGGCTCCCAGAGCGCCGGCGCCCGCGCCCACCCACGGCCCCGGCCCCCCGCCGGGCCTGCCCCGTCCCGAGCCCGAGCTGCGCCAGGGGTCTGCAGCCCTGCCGGCCGCCCTGGAGCTCCTGCTGCCGAGGTACACCCTGGTACAGGCGGAGGAGGGTGGGTTGATGGAGAGCGAGGCGGTGCTGGAGACGGTGCAGTCCATTCAGGGTCTGCTGACGAGCCTGGGTGCGCGGCAGGGGGAGCTCCTCGCCGCCCTGCGCCGGAAGGAGGTGGGCGGCCTTGTTTTGGGGTTGGGAGGAGGATGCCTAGGTTATTTGGGATGCGCTCGTGAGCACATGCATGTCGACATCAGGGGGGTGTCTCCGCCTCAGCAGGGACCGCTCCATCTGGTCCATGCACAGGAGCAATTAGCTGCCCTGCAGACGGCCCATGAGGAAGCAAGGTCACGGCTCGCGAGGCAGCAGGCGCAGATGGAGCACTTGGCACAGCAGGTGGACGGGAGCGTCAGGGTGGGAAGGTATCCATGTCTTTGACCCTGCCGGGAAGCTAGAGGGCATGCATGACGCGCGAGGCGCGGGCGACAGGCTCCGTGAGTGCCTCATGCCCTCCAATGCTGTAACAACAACTATCCATTTCATTGAGTGCTCTCATCATGGTGTTGGCAACGCTCATCGGCGCACCACTGGGTGCCGTGGCAGGGCTCGCGGTGAGTTGAATGGCCAGGCCTCGGATCGCTGGTGCTCTCGGGTGGGGGGGGAGGGGGTGTTGAGATGCCTGTCTATACATACAACCCAGCTCCCACCTTTCACCATGCGTAGATCGGAGGACTGATCACGAGCCGATTCATCGGCATCACCCCCGATTCCTCCCTGACGCGGCTGGACGTGTCAGCGGACGACCAGGACAACTTTGATGTCGTCGAAACCGAGGGGAAACCGGTGGGAGGCAAGGAAGTGGCCTTGCTGGGCGACCTTTCCCGCTGGTTGGAGGACCCGGATCACCGCAGGGTAGGTGCACCGTGCTTGGGTGGGAAGGGGCAAGGAGGACATGGGAGCCCAGTCCCTGCAGCTGTTGATCCCCAGGGATCACTGGTTCCCTCGCCACCCGCATGCAGGTCCAGTTCATCACCAGCATCCTCGGCCTGCTGTGGCCGACCCTGTCCTCGGCTGTGTACAAGGAGGTGCTGGTGCAGGCCAAGCAACCCCTGGAGGATGCCTGCAAGATGACCAATGGCCTGGTTGCCTCCCTGGCCATCACGAAGCTGGACCTGGGGACCATCCCCCCGCGCCTGGACAGCTTCAAAACCATGCACTCAGAGTCGGATGAGCTGATCCTGGAGGTGGGCAGGGGCTGGGTTTGCCACGGCAAGCAGGGCACACGAGGGTTTTGGGCCATGCTGCATGGCGCCCTGCAGCTCAGAGGAGCATAGCTGTGACTCTTCATGCCAGATGCAGTGTCCTCACGTCAGACTGTCAGCCACAGAGCACGGCTTGCCCTTGCCCTCCCACCGCATTCCAGGCCCCGCTGTTCTGGGGCAGTGACTTAAAGGCGGCAGTGTCTGCCGTCCTCAAAGTCGGAAAGTTTGGGCTGATCGAGGTCCCCGTGGAAATTGCAAACGTTCAGGTACACAGGCTCTCATGCAGGCTGGCAGGCTGAGGGTGTGTGAAGCGCTGTGGGCCCATGTGGTTCTAGATGCTGAGGCACGTCAGCCATGCTTCCTCTCACCTCCCCAGATCAAGGCGCTTGCAAGGATCACCATCAAGCCCCTGGTGGAGACGCTGCCGTGCTTTGGTGGGATCACGCTGTCCCTGATGGAGGTGAGGTTTTTGGGGGAAGATTCTTGCACCCATTGCAGGAAGGCTCGGGCTGAGACAGTGTCTTGCTCGTGTGCATGAGGTGGTGGGGTGCGCTCTGAGAACACGAGCACCGTAGCATTTGGTCGCATGGTCCCTCAACTGGTCTGTCCTTCACAATGGTAGGCGCCACATGTGGATCTGGATGTGCACTTGGCTGGCTCCGCAGATCTGCTGGCCCTCCCCCTCGTCCCCGAGGCAGTCAAGCTTGCCATCAAGGTGGGCCCACACGGTGCTCAAGGGGATGGGAGATCATGCCCTTGAGTGCTGATTGCTCTTGCGTTCCTGGATATGCTGCCCCCTCATCAGTCTGCATGATCATGGAGGGAGGCACAGGCTGCAAACAAGGGTGTGCATGAGCATCGCAACACCCTTCCTCACCACACTCTTTTATTACCTGCAGATCTTTGCGGGGCAGATGCTGGTGTACCCCAATGAAATATCGGTTCCCATCATGGAGAACTTTGGGGTGCCCGCCCCCCCCCTTGGGCATGCTGCATGTCACGGTGTGCCCTCGAGCTGCTGCAGGCTCAGGGACAGCTGACCTGTTCTGAGTCTGAGGGTCTGGGTTACATGCATCGCTGACGTGCTCCTTCATGCTTGGGGTCGGGTCAAGCATTGCCCCTCCCTCACCTTCTCAGGTTGTCAACGGTAAGAATCTGAAGAGCTCCTGGTTTGACAAGGTCGACCCCTTTGTGAAAGTAGAGGTGCGAGCCCTGCTCCGAGTTGGGAATTCAGGCAGTGTACGGGGCCTGCAGCCGGAGTGGCTGGTGACTCCTGGGATTCTCATGCCGTGCCACTCAGCAGCTCCCTGGCTGGACGACTGGGAAGGAGGAGCATCCCGGCCGCAAGGACCTCTCCCTTCCTCCCCTTCCAGGTGCGAGAGGGCAAGGGCCTGCAGACGACCACCATCGACAACAACAGCCACCCTGAATGGAACGAGACAATGCTGTTTGTGGTGGATGATCCGGTGAGCGAGAGTGCAGCTGGATTGCTATGTCACGGCCTGCCTCGAGGTCTAGCACACAGCGCTCGGCTCGGTGCTGCATCCGCTACCACCATGGAGTCCGGAGGCTGATGGCCTCCCCTCGTGCCCACATCACCAATCCATGCAGCTCAAGCAGAGCGTCAAGATATGCGTGATGGATGAGGATGTCATGTCCTCCGACGTCGTCGGTGTTGCCGAAGTCCCCCTGAAGGGCGCAGGTGCAGGCCAACAGAGGGGTGTTTGCTGGTGGCGTCGTCGATTTCAGGACTGATGACTATCACTTGGTGCTGTCTGTGATTGCAGAATCTGCAGTCCCCTGGAAGGCAGCAACCTCGTGTGTTCCATGATTGGCGACATCTCGTGTGACGCACTTGCTACTTTCACGTGCCAAGATCTCACCCCTGAGAGACCCATCGACGGCCCCTTAATCCCTTGGTCCCCGCCTTCAGAGTTTATGCTGCAAGCAGGACGCAGCGTCAGGGCCACCATCCCTATCCGTGAGCCGCCGCCCCAGGACGACGCCGTGATGCACCCTGAGGCGGCGCCGGATGCACACGAGGTGGCAAGGGACCTCAAGGGCGAGAACGCCACCGATGCGCAGGCAGCGGGGGCGGTGGTGGAGGTGGGGCCGTCCTCCGAGACCTCGACGCCGCGGGAGAGTGGGGACACAGGGGCCAGTGGGGGCGGGACCCCGGAGAAGAAGGAGAAGAAGATATCCAAGCTCCTGCGCAAGCTGAAGTGAGGAACTGTTGTGTGTGTGGTGAAGAGGGGGAGGGGGGAGGAATAACTCGGGAGAGTGCATGAGAGGTGGTGGGGGAGGGTAAGCAATCTTTTCCAGGGGACTGCATGTAGCCAAGCTTGCCACATCAGGGGCATGGCTCGATGCATGGGCAGGGCTGTCACCATCTGGTTCTCCCTCGCCCCCCTCTTCCGCGGCAGGCTCAAGAAGGGCCCCTCGCATCACGAGGAGGACACAGCCTCCAGCAACGTGACGACGCATGCAAAACACTCCCCCGCATCCAAGAAGAAGGAGGGGCACCGGAAGAAGCATGGGAAGGATGCGCAGGGTGAGGGGCCGGGGGGTGGCGAGGGCGGCGCATCCACAGCTGCCTCTGAATCGTGGGGTTGGTCGCCCGGCGGGCACTCACCTCGCGCTGCAGACTCGCCTGGCTTCCGTCCTGAAGCGGGCTGCCTGACGCGGCTGCTCCTGCCCTCACCCCCACGCGCATCCCAACTTCCGGCGATAATGGTTCGCGCACCACCCGGCGCGCAGGCGAGGTCACGGGGCACCTGACCCTGGAGTTCAAGTTCACGCCCTTCCGGGGCGCAGCCACAGTGACCGACGGTCTGGAGGAGCCCAAGCGCGTGGCACCGCGCCAGGCAGGGCCGGGGTGTGGGGGGAGGGGGATGGCCCGCGGAGGGGTGCGCGGCCGCGCGGCGGGCGGCGGCCAGTGCACGCGCCAGTCAGCTGACGAGTGCCCGGAACCCCTCCACGACCCCCCTGGGCACCCCACCTCTTCACAGGTCAGCAGGAGCACGACCAAGCGACCCAGGGCCGAGGACAGGGGCCTGCTCTCGCTGGACCTCAAGCGCTGCATCGCGCTGGAGGTGGGCGAGGGGGCTCGGGCAGTGGGGCGGGGCCGGGGCGGAGTGTGCTGTGTTGGATGCGTTGCTGCATGGCCTGGGTGGGTCCTGAAAGGGCCTGGAAAGGAGGAATGTTGGGCGAACGATGCATGGTGTGGCACCCCGGGGGCATCACCTCAGCATCCATCATCGAGCCTCTGTACGGCTTTTGCGCACCGATGTTCCTGCCCCTATTCCCGGCCTGTCGCTGACATGTGCTGGCTCCCCTCACCCCATCCCCCCTTTCCTCCTGGCTGAACAGGAGGAGGCCGACACGTTTGTCCAGCTCACGCTGCACGACCCCACCCGGGGGTCCAGCTCCGACACCGTAAGTCGGGGCGGCTGAAGTTCCAGGAGGGGTCCTGGAGGGGCCGATCTCTCGCGGCCGCGACCCTGCGCTGCATGACGTGTCAGACGACACCCTGCCGCTACCGCACTCGACCTCAAGCGCCCTTTCGGTCGTCGGTCCCCCCCGCAGGTCTACAAGACGCCAGTCGTGCTGGAGGAGCAGAACCCACAGTACCGCTTCAAGACCGACTTTGTCAATGTGTCGGCCATGTCCACCCTCACCCTCACCGTCTTCCAACGGCCCAGCTTCACGGCCTCCACGATGGGCAAGATCCCGTTTGTGCACAAGGTGAGGCGGCGCAAAGGGGTGGAGTTCTTGAGACGATTCCTTCTACGTGCCTGTCCTGGGGCCTGATGATGGGTAGGCGAGGAGATACCAGGCCCAGCAGGGGTGCGGCAAGGCATCCCACCCCACCCTTCCACACTATGCAGGCCAAGGCCAAGCAGATGGGGTACGTGCAGATCAAAGCCAGGAATGTGGTGGACGAGGAGCGCATCAGTGGGAAGTGGGCGCTGCAGGAGGCACAGGTATGTGTGGAGGTGGAAGTGGGGTGGTGTGACTGCGCATCCAGCGCAGCTTCGACTTGAAGTGCTGAGGGCTGGTGTTGGCCAGCGGGTGCGCAGGCAGTCGACACATTTCACACCCGTCTTATCCCGCCACGGAATTCATCGGTCACAGACGGGAGAGATGGACCTGGCGATTTCCTGGCATGCCATCGACGTCGAAGACTTTGGTGACCTCTGAGGAAGGGGCACATGGAGGGCCCAAGGGGTACACTGGGTGGCATACCACCGTTGTATTATCGACCACACCTTCCGGGCGTGTTTATACCTTTTTATAAGTATCGCCGGTCGAAGGCTGACTATTCTTGGATGTAGCCACAAAGCATGCGTGTTGGCCGCAATACCGTCGAGCACCGGCGAGGAATGCCTCGAGGCTCGTTCTCCGAATGGAACGAGCTTAGATTATTGATCATACCGCTCTGATGATGCTTCAATGTCTTTTCGTCGAAAGTCATACTCGGAGTATGAGCATTCCAAACACCCGAGCAAACCGGCGAAAGCGAGATACGTTGGTGCTCGGGTGTTCTTTCATCAATCACTGTGAGCATCATCAGGCTTAGGATGAAGCATTGAAGCTTATGACATCCAGTGTACGGGGTGAAGTACGTCGCAAGCCCGCATAACGCAACGATCACAGGCTCATACCTGGAAAACGTGTTCCTGACCAGTTTCTCGCCTTATCGGTGTCACTGCCCCGCAACCCGAAATGAGGCAGCCAAGTTTCAAATTTTGTTTGCTTGCTAGACCTACCATTTGATCATGGCGTCGTACTCCTTCTCAAAGCAATCCCACATGAGCTTTTACAGCAAGAATGTGGACCCAATTGTCTCAGCGCTGTCTGCCACGCTGTACGAAGTCTCGGCCGAGACAACCTTAACCCTAAGGATGGAAACCGAGAATCAGCATCATTGTGCTGCGATATCCAGGCGGCTCGTACTAGGTTCCGAATCTCGACAAAGTATGAGTTCTGTTGATTATCACCATCGCCTTTATAGCTTCCAACTCCAGTACAGACCAATACACCCCCAAGCTCCGCTCCGGAGGCTGCGCTGGACAGATGTCGACAACGTCCCCATGCGCGTCGGAGCTAGAGCAGACGAGTCGGGTGCGAGGCGGGGAGCAGATATGGCGTCGCAACTCACTGTCCAGGCGTTAGATTGCCCTTTTCGAACACAGCTCTTGCCCGTTCGCCTGCAGGGTGACGCTGAACCACCTAAGCGACCCAAGTCTGCCTTCCTCTGCTTCCTCTCCCATTACCGGTGAGTGGACGCTTTCGGTGTGTGCGTGGATTGTTTATAATGGTAATGGCTCGATACCTAGCGCTCCAAAGTCCCTCACGCTCACCCTTCTCGCCCAACGTGCAGAGCGATTTACAAGGTTCGGCCCCCCTGCTCTTCGGCTTCCGGCGCTAAGGGTTGTTTGCGTGCGTGCGCACCGGCCAGTCTCCCCGTGCGCATAGCCTTCGAACCTAAATCAGTTCTACCCACGTCCCTCGCAGACGGCTTATGGGGGTCGCTGCATGCACCAGCGCTCGATGTGCGCTGCTGCCGGAGAGGCATGGCGTGGAATGGACGCCGCTGCGCGGGAGCCGTACGTCGCCGAGTCGGACGCGAGCAAGATTGCCTGGTCGCATTACATGGCTTCTCCCGAGGCCAAGGTGTCGCGGAAGTCCGTCGGACCCCAGGGCAAGACCCCTTCCCGGGCACCCTCCAGGCAGACTGGCAGGACGCCAGCCCCCACGCCAGCCTCCACGCCGCCGCCCCTACTCTTCGAGCGCGCCCTCGCTCCCCAGGTGGGAGGTCTGCCCCTGCATGCAGCTGGCTGTGACAGCCAGGGGACAGAGCTGGTGTGCCGGTGGTGGCGAGACCCCTGGATGGAACTTGCCCTCCTCTCAAGGGCGTCCTAAGAGCGCACCCTAGCCCATTCACCCATTTCCCATCCCCATCCACAGGACATGCAGCAGAGCCAGAGCTGGGGGTCGTCCATGGCGCACACCACCGTGTCCGTCTCCGTCCCCTCCCCCTCCGCCAGCTGGCCCCTGGCCGGCGCTGGGCCCAGCCCGGACACCCTGCCCATGCTGACGGGGCATGTTATCCCCTGGACCACCGACTGCTTCCTGAACCCCCCCTTCTCCGCCTACCCCCTCTCCGACCCGGCGCCTGCGGCGCAGCCCACCCCTCCCCCGCGCCCCTCCCCCTGGAGCCCAGCAAGGCCGAGCTACCCAACCCTTTTGCGGTCAGTGCGGCAGCGGAGGGCCGGCGTTGTTCCGCCGTCCCCCGCCCGGGACCTGGCCCTGGCTCCCCCTTTGCCAGCCAGGCGGGAGAGCTGCCAGCGCCGCTGAGCCTGCCCAACCTGGGCTCCGCAGGCCTGCCCAACCTGGGCTCCGCAGGCCTGCCCAACCTGGGTTCGCTGGGCCTGCCCAACCTCGGGTCGCTGGGCCTGCCCAGCGTGGAGTCCCTGGGCCTCGGCGCCCTCGGGCTGCCGCAGTGGTCGCAGGGCCTGCTGCAGAGCGTGGACAGCCGCGGCCCCTGGATGCGCGACATGGACCTCCTGCCGCTGTGGGATGAGGTGCTCGCCCTTTCCACCACGCCCCAGACCAGTGCCTGGCCGTGCCTGCCCTCCGTGAGGGTGTGAGGCATCCCCCTATTTCTCGTTTTACCACCTCCCTTCCAACAATAAAAAGAAGGGCCCAACCAGCGCCTGAGCCCCCTCCCCCCCTTCCTGTGCACGCCCAAACCCCTACCTTTCTGTA